CATTTAATTTTCTGAATATTGCTTAATCTTAATTTTTGTTCTAAGATTTATACTGTATCTTTGACTTACAATTTATTTAAAAGACATTGTATGATATCTTCTCCTAGTATTAGAAACTTTAAAAAGTAAAAAAATAAAATAAAATAAAATGGAAGAACAGCTTTCAGGTTTGAGGGTACCTCCTCCAGGGACCTTCAGTCTAGCCATAGAGCTAATGAAATTCATAAGAAATTGATACAAAAACTTCAAAGTCAGATGATATGAATAATGTGATATATTTGTGTAACAAAAAAAAAAGAAAGAAAAACCACTGTATCAATGCCTAGAGAATAACTCAAAGGCTATGCATTCAGAGGTGGATACTATTTAGCCCTGAGGAAATAGGGAGCAGATAGTCTCTTTTTTTCTTCTAGAAATATATTTGAATTAACACAATAACAATAATAACCACATAGTTTTATATAATTTTAAAAATACCTTAAAGATTTTGAAAATTTGCTAAAGAATTTCCCATACTTGGAATGACATAATCTTAAAACTAGAGACAGAGGCCAGAGATACAGCTCAGCAGTACAGTGACAACCTGGCAAGCGCAAGGTCCTGAGTTTGAGTCCCAGTGAGAGACAGAGACAGAGACAGAGACAGAGAGCGAGAGACAGAGAGAAAGAGAAAGAGCGAGAGAGACAGACAGACAGACAGGCAGACATTGTGGGAAGCAGTTTGGGTGCTCTTCAGAAAGCCAGATGTAGACTCACTGTGTGACTTAGCAACCTCATTCCTTGGTTTATACTCAAAATAATTGAAAACAGGTACCTGAATATATACTTGGTCACCAATATAGCAGCACTATTGACAATAGCCCACATGCCCATCAACAGCAAAAGAGGGCGCGGAGCATTGTGGGCTATCTGGGCGGCCGGAACACGGAGAATGGAGTAGCGAGCCCCTGAAGAAGTTGCCAAAATGATGCCCACACCAGTTATACTGTTGAAAGAGGGAACTGACAGCTCCCAAGGCATCCCTCAGC